CATAATTATTAAAGAGAATAGAATAGTTCTGTTGGAAGGGATCTACAGTGATCATCTAGTCCAACTTCAGTGTACAGTAAGATTAATACATGCCAATGAATCTGTAACTGACAGGACACCAATTCATTCGAAAATAAGCCGCTGCAGAGAAACACAGCATCCATCCAGCTTTCAAGGAAAATAAAATCAAATCTTAACAATTTAACGTTGACTTATAATTGGAATATTGTATCTTTACTAAATGCATTGAGAGACAATAATGTTTATTCTCATCCTGCATACCAGTATAGTTTCTCTGCCTTAGTAGCCGGTTCCACATACACCCATTCTCTCAACTAAGCAAATTCTTATTTGAACATATGACTCTTGTGTCTGAGAATAATGGGAAGCCTACCTTCTAAGGTGGTTTCCTCTCCATCCAAGGGAGGGCCATCACCATCTTCATACTCAGAAATCACACTAACTGCGTAAGTAGTTTCAGGTAGCAAGTTGGTGAGAACTGAGCTAGTACTCGAAGCTGGTACTGAAACAATGAATTCATCTCCACCGACTGCTACTTTATATTTAATGAGATAGGACAAAACCTCAGATCCAGCTGGAGACCAGCTCACTTTGAAACTGTCAGATGTTACATCAGAAAAGACCATATTCTTTGCAGGTACGTAAGCTGTATGGAAATAAAAACGCACAGATGAGGCACACTTGCTAGAATATTTTTAACACAAAATCTCTAAATTAAATTAAAAATGCCCCTTAATGATTTGATTTATTCTAATTGAACAGATATTTTTGTTGCACATGCGACAGTATTTGTTTTCTATACTTGCTTATAGTTATCAAATTTCATGAAGATCCTATCTAGGTTGTCTCAAATCACATGACAATGAGTAGAAGCACCAACTCAGTGATTTCTATATCAAATAAGTACAATCCATCTAAAAAAAATGTACTTATGAAAACTTAAGTTAGAATCTGATGGTCAAGTTGGGTTCCCTCTTTCATATGTCCTATGAACAGAATAACATTATGCCCTCAATGGGAACTAGGAATCCTTGGGGTTTTTCAGATCTAGATTAGAAATAGGACAAAATAAACCCCAGTATTTTTTCAGGAATGGAGTCAAAGGGGAAACAAGGAACTTGACATTAGGCACAAACACAAACCTGACATCCTGGGCTTGTTTTGGTTGGCCTAGTCAGCCTAACAGTGGGGATGTTAAGACTGCTTGAGCCCTCTAAAACAAAGGCTGCTTTGCTGGTTTGTTCCTCAAAGCTATCCTGAAACAAAAGGCTTATTTTTAAAGAGAGTGGGGTTTTCAATACTGAGGACTATTCAATGTTAGTGTTCTGCTAAACATAGGTAGGGACACTGAGGGTGCAACTAATCATAAGTAACTTTAGCTGACCAGAAGTTGGTCATTTAGAAATTTTTTAAATATTAAACATTATCCAAACTCTCCAGATTTGGATGCACGTGAAGACTTTCAGATGCTACTTCATTTCAGACTTTACAGTTAGACTGAGGATAATATCATATAATATCTGCTGTCTCAAATTGTCTTGTCTAAGCCCATTTCAGAGGGTCATTCGTTTTACCCTAAAAATTAACCAAATCACCCTCTGGAGGTGTTGGCATTGATCCATTGTCTTTGAAATTCTAAAAGACAAGCTTAGACTAGCTACCTCATTTTCAACAGCTAAAGAAGAATGGCCCTAGTAACTTTTACTCAAGACATTGAGTGTAAAAGAAGAGCACATCCACTAAGGTCATTCCAGATAGGTACATACTTTAATAGTCATACTTTTACCTAGGAAAGGAGGGGCAAAAAAATATTTCTCCAATAATTTTTTCATCTCCATTTCTCCGTTAATTTCCCCAGTTATTAAAATTATCATTTGTATACAGATCATTTCATCAATATCTATTACTTAGGTAACTACAAAAACAAAACATTGGTTCAGATATTTTTTCATTGCATTTTCTACATTTCTCTAAGTAATAGTAGTTACTTACATTTTTTCCTTATAGCAGCCAGTTCCTGCTCAATCCGTAGGCAGACCGACTGTGTAAGTTCAAATGATATTCTTTGAAAAGCATCAAAATCTTCCACTTTATAAACATGGGTGTCAGCAGGAGGTGATGCAATAGCTTCTAACTCTGTACGCACTGCATCCTTCACACCAACTGCAAATATTTCTACATCTGCATCCCTCAGCTTTATTGCAGGTTCTTTAAAAGCATCTGACGATTTTCCATCAGTAATGAGAATCATGACTCTCGGCACATTTGGTCTTGATCCTTTGCTGGTAACAAATACTTTCTCCCTCACATATGTCATCGCTTTGCCTGTGTTGGTAGATCCACCTCTGTAGGGGAAGGTGTTAATAGCCTGAATTATGTCTTCCACTCTGTTGTATCTGTTCAAAGAAAACTCCATATGGGGATCTCTGCTGTACTGGACAAGACTTATCTGTACTTTTCGAGGCGATATCTCAAAGCTTTTAACTAACACTTCCAAAAAGGCTCTTACTTTAACAAAATTGGCGATACCAATGCTGTAGGAACCATCCACTAAAAACACAACATCAGCTTTTACATCCACACCACGTGAGCATTCTGTAAAGAAAAAGAATCACCACTATAAACAGATACTCAATAGCCACAGCATTACAATTGCATCTCCAGTTCATGTATCACAAGCAGTTGCTTATAAAGAAAATAAACCATGCTAAGTAAAGCTGTTTCTTATAAATAATAAAGGTATGATAGTAAAACAAGCATCAGAGGTTTAAACAACAAAAAGCTACCGTGTGAAAATAACATAGTAGCTCCTAACTCACCCACTTGAACTTTTACTTGTTGTGTTTTTTCCATTATTGTTATTGGCTCACTGGGGGTCAGTCCTTTCATTGCATAAACATTAATTTGATACTCTGTGTCTGGAGAGAGATCTTTAACATTCAGAGCAGTAGTCTGAGGACCCACACTCAGTACATGCTGTTTTCCACCAGCTATCATTGGAATGAACTGCAGCCGATAGCCAGTTATTTGGCTTGTGGATGGATCCCAAGTGATCCTAACAGATTTTGAGGAGACCTGAGTGGCCACCAGATTTGAAGGAGGCTCCACCACTGAAAGAAATCAAAAGCAAACCCAAAATATGAATTACAATTATAAACAGATTTTCTTCCATATTTTTATTTCTGGAATAAATTTATTCATCTTTGCTTAATCCTTACTAAAAATCACTTTTCTTTTTAGCATAAACAAACACAAGTGAATTACAGGACAGTCCAAATGAGGCATCAGTGAGAGGCTAGAAATATGAACAATGCATTTGTGGTCCTTCGAGTATAGTAGAAGTTCCAGGAGAAATGCTGCTTTGCTTTAATACTGTTTCAACCAGAAGCGAAAGCTACTTCCACAGAAACACAGTAGAGAATGTGAATGAATGCAGATCTGAGCAGAGCACTACGACAGCGGAGTCATCTCTGCCACCATTTTGGTCAAAGAATAACTAGTTACTTAGAATCTTACAGGGCCAGAAAGCTGCAGTGATGCAGCTTAACTTTTGTCTTTTCACAGCATTCTCCAGTTGTCATTCCTTGGCTCTTAACATGTTATATCTTCTGCCTCTTCACCAAGCAGTTTTTTTCCCTTCCATTTTTCCATAGAAGTGATGCCTGTGTCCAAATTGACTGTATGAGACTCTGATAACTGCACATCATTGTGTTGCTCTTGAAACTATGGAATAAATGGAGCTATTCCAAATCTACTACATCACATGTTCTGTTCTCCTGCATTTAAACACACAAAGCTGAGACCCGTTCTCCACACTTGCTAAATGAGGCAATGGATCAAACTCCAGAAATACAGCAAAAGAAGTAGGAATAGCCCCTTAAATATGCATCAGAATAAACTGAAGTCAATACATACGTTTATATAAAGTATCTCACCTTCTTCTCCACTAACCAGTTCACCTAGTTGTTCATCAACACCAGAGCACACTTGCAAGATAATTTCATTCTGTATATCCACAATTCCATCAAAATTAGCCACATTGAACACATGCTTCAGTGAAGGTTGAGATGCAATTAGCTTGAGTTCCTTTGCATCTGCTGCTTTGATTCCTAGAAGGTGCAACAGATAGGACTGTGTTAAGTGGCCATAAAACACAGACACCTGTGAATGTATTCATAAAGTATCAAAACATCCTGGAGAAAAGCTGAGGTTAACTCAGTTCTGTCTTCTGTCATTCTCAATAATCAAACTACAAAATACTGATTAATGCAATGAGGCAACATACTCCATTTTCAACTTGAGAAAATAAGGTGATATCTTCTATAAGGCCAAGGTTGAAACTATGCTTGTCAGTCATCTTAGTCTCCATGTAGGAGCTACAGAATTACTATAAAATTAACATAACCGGTGTGTTCTGCTCTGGAGGGCGCAAACGACTCATTTCAATGCATACACATGGAAGGAGTGGCATAGTGAAATTCTTGAAACACAGAATCTGTAAAACATATAACTTACTTCTTTAGCAATGTTAAAATCTTAATCATTAGAAAAAATCGACATACCTAAAGAAAAAACTTCAACGCCTATGTTGCGAAGCTCTCTTGCAGGAATTTCGACTTCATCTTGAGCTTTTCCATCCGTAATGACAATTGCTACTTTGGGAAAGCCTTTTCTTGCTCCAGCAGACTCAGTGAAGGTGTTTTGAACCAGGTAATCAATAGCCTCACCTAAAAACAACACCATGAGTTGTGTTTTACTAGGCTTGAATGAACTAGGATTTAAAGCAAATTTGAATTATAAAATTAAATGTTGAACAAACACATATGTGGGAAATCTGTACCTGTCATTGTGTTGCCACCTTTGTAAGGTATCCTTTTAATTGCATCAATAAGATCACTTCTTCTGAAATACTGATTTAAATTGAACTCCGTTCTTGTATCTGAACTGTACTGAACAACTCCAACTCTCGTCTTTTCTTCCCCAATATCAAAAGCTGATACAAGGGCAACCATGAAGTCCAGAATATATCCAAAGTTACTTCTCCCCACACTCCATGAACCATCTACCAGGAAAACTAAATCTGTCATTGCACTTATGGAGCATTCTGGAACATAAAAAAAAAAAAAAGTCTCTGTTAGCAAATGAGCAACTGAATTCTTACAAATCTGTGAGAAATGTCTGACAGAAACTTTGCAGGTCAAAGACAAAATAAACAGGTATTTAACAGATTGGTATTCTTATCTGGAATATCTTACTTGGACAAGCATTATTCACATAAGTAAACACTCATAGAAGCCTTCTACCTGTCATTACCAAAAGGGAACTGTCATGTAGATACTCAGTTTTGAGATACCTATCGCACTATTCCACAAGACCTGTTATGCCACAGCAAATGAAAACCACATATAAAACTTTTTGCAACAGTTTGATGTTATAGGAACATTTCAATTTGTTCCCACTTCTGTTTTGCACCTTTATCTCCCCATAATAGCTGGACAAGTTACTCTGCAATGCTATTTATCCACAGCACAATATCTTCTGTTAACAGGACTAAGACATTCATGGGCTTGCTCGGGTTAGTTGCACGAAATTCCTAGTTTCAGTACCAACTTTGCACCTTATTCTTTCAATGCAGCTATAAATTCCTCCCATCCCAGTCCCATTCTAAATTTTCTTAACTCTGGGCAATTTTACAAGTTAACTTCATTGCTAGGCAACACAGGAACACAGTTTAACTTTATGGGGCCCTAAGAGCTAGACCTCACTTATCTCTAAAATGTCAGATAAGTTGAAAGACAAAACACCTTACTTTGCAATTGAGCCTCAACCTTCTTTTCCTCTGGTATCCCTGGACCACCTGTCTGAACTGCACAAAGTACAACATACAGAGAATTAATGGAGGAAATCCGGTTAAATTTGTAAACATCACAGAAAATTGTGTAGGAAATTAAAGACACAAATCTGACAAGCCTCAGAACACGAAAACATAAATGCAAGTTATGAATACATCACCTATACTTAGATTTGACAACATGGCATTCAGGGCAACAACAAAATACAGAAAATGCAAATAATTAAGAATCCTCTGTATTTGTACATCTTGTACAGTAATTTCCTGAAAATTAATAGCAACTTCCCTGGATGAAATACCAATATTACCCCTCTCGAACACATAGGGGGACTCATCATAAGCAATTTTCTTGTGGCTGTTAGGGAAGACTGAAACATGCGACAAAATGTGTCACAGAAGATAGTCTGCCAGGCTTAACATTTTTATTTAATTAAATTTGTTTTATGCTTTATTTCATTATTAAATATAAATTCTAAAAATCTAAATTCTATATTTTATTATGCATATAGATACATTGTGTCACATTTTGTTGTTTGATGAAGGTAGTTAGCTTTTTTTTTCCCCACACACACAGGAAGCTGGTTGGATTCATTTATTACTGAGGTCAATGAGAGTCTTCCCCTTGACTTCAGCAGATGCAGTTTATAAGAAATACGCTTCCCTCAAAAGAATCAGTAGCCTCCTGCAAAGAATTCTATAGGGGTTCGGACACTACATATCCATATTAGTGTCTTCTTATCTCTTGCAAATTATCTCTGCTTCTACTAGGAATTCTGCTTAATGGAAAAAGGCTGTTCAGATAGCTACGTCTGATCAGAGCTTCACTATGTGGCAATTTTGTTGAGGAACTGGTACAAAGCCAAGTTTGGTGAATGATCACTCAGTTTTCTTACTTGATTTTCTAAATGTATTATAGGTACTTACTTGTCAGTTGGCCAAAAACAGGTAGGCTCTCCTCTCTTTCATCATATGAAGCTATTGATACAACATACTCTACATCAGGTATAAGACCTGATAAGACAGTTTGGGTGGTGCTAGGTGAAAGAGTAAATTCTTCAGTAGGCCCATCTGCAATAAATACATAAAACAGTTAATGTATCCTTTAAATCCAGTAATAGCAATAAGTTGATATTTTTAAAAAAAAATGCAACAGAGAATACTTTATCTCAAATCCAACGATAATTTTAGAATGATACTCTTTCTTTTTTCCTGAAGTATGAATTTTGAAACATGAAACTTCAAATGAATCTGTTTTCAATAGTGAACAAAATTACTGAAATGTTTAATAAATTCCAGGAAATTTGAAACTCAAAATGCACATGCAAAATGTACTATCATCTAACAAATCATGGTCCAGTACTGATCCAATATCACTTTTACACTGATTATTTCTCAAAGTGAAATAGAATAATGGATGTCTTACACAGACATTATCAGGAAGTTATATGACATCACTGCATCATTACCTCACACACACAATATTTTCCCTGGGAGAAGTACTTGAATGAAGTACAATACAATTCTCTAAAGTAAAAGCATAGAAGAGGAGCAGAGTGATGATTCTACCTTCTTTTTGTGCCTCTCAAAGGAAAAGCATCCAAAACTTATTACTTGCGGTCCCCAAAGAATAAACACTATGGTAAGAAAAACTCTAACTTGGAACAATCACTGTTCTTTCCTGTACGCCCTTTGCTGCTACCCAGTCTTGATCACAAACTTCAGAAAGCTGTTAATAGCTGCTCTCAGACCTAAGTTAGATATGAGTGAAAATAAACCCAAGTTTCCAAAAAATCTAATGACATAACAAAATTTTACAGAACTCACCATTTGTTGGAACCACAGTTATCCTGTAACCCACTATTGCATCTGGTGGCCTTTTCCATGACATTTGAACATTATGTTCATCTATAATTGTAAAATTCAAGTCTGTCGGTGGATTAACTGCAAAAGATTTATACCAGGAGGATGCTTAAAAGTTTGAACAAGCTTTGGCAAATGAAGAAATAAAATAATGCTGAGCAAAGCTTACTAAAATTGTCTTTGCATAAATTTGTTTCCAACAAATATAAAGATATGTTGTTGGAAAAAGAGTAAAATAAAAGCTGACAAAATATGACAAAACATCAAAGAGTATACGCATTACAGAGGACAGCACAGAACATATGTTTCTTGAGTTGCCAAGACATTCAAGAATGGCCAGCAAAATCAAGCACAATAGAAAACACATTTGGATACATGTACAATGAGTTCACAGATAATCACCACATATGCAAACATTTCACATAACAATTAAAGGAAATTTTTTTACATGCTGGGTGCAATCCGTACAAGCATGCCAAATCACAACCTGCTTACAATATCATGAGATCATTTAGGACATTGAGAACACAGTACTCTTCTTAATTAGACATCAAAGAACTGATCAGCTTTTTAATATAGTCTCTGCATAGTCATATTTCTTATCAATTTCACTGAATCTAGAAACTTGGCAGAGAAAAAAATATTTTATAGAATACAGGAAAAGATTGGGCATTTAATGTTCAGTAAAACAATTTCTGTTAGGGTCTAGATAGGAGTATACATGTAAAATGTATATCAGTAATAATGATATACTGATGTATCATTTTATTTCAAAACATGGAGAGCTCCACCCCTTTGTTCCTAGAAGCCACTAAAGTGACATACTTTGCATACAGCTGCAAAGGATTCAGGAACTAACGGGATAATAAATGGGATTAGTAAAGGTTGCAATTTGCTGAAGTATTTGGGCTGATGCAAAAGTTCACAAAAATAAGATTCTACCTGTTTACACCAGATTGCTGTACAATTTCAAAGGTGTAAACTATTGTTTTCATGTTCCCTTTGCAGCAGGTGTAGCCATACTAGTAGTGGCATTTTAACATAAAATGCCAGTATGGTTCCAAACACACAATGGTTAATTATGAAAAGACAACATCAAAGTATATTTACGGACATTTATTTTACAGAATTTATAGAAAACAGTAAAGAGGGCACCAGTGATCTGAACAAATGACTGCAAATAAAACTTGTAGGAGCTGATGACAGAAGTAACTGAATAGTACAGAAAGAAATAGTTTACATACGCTATTTTGGAGCATCATGCACATGTAAATGAAATGTTGATTATTATTTTTTTAGCTTCCCACGATGGACAAAAGCCTCCATGTACAAGGTTCATTACACAAAGACGTTTCATAAATATTTTATAATGATATTCTCTTTGTAAAATTGTCATGCTTATTCATGCAGTATTTTACTGACTCACTGTCAGTGCATGGTAGGTGTATTATATATTATTGTTTAAAAAGGTCTATAAAGTAAGATTAGATTCAGCCATACTTTCCTTAACTACTTGTGAGACCGTTTTGCAGGCATTTTTAATAGACAGATCTTCTCTGTTTCATGGAAGATCTCCATCATATGTCAGGGTCTGTTTCGGTTTTGAAAATAATTTAAAGAGCAGATGAAGAAATAAATGCTGGAACGTATGCCTACGAAAAGACACCGTCCAATTGCAGTAAGTAATATTGAGCTCAAAAAAAACCTGGCAACCAATTGTGTAGGCATTTCTTTTCCTTTTAATTTCCTGCCATTTCCAACCAATAGGATAATATGGCTTTGTAATACTGATACAATAGATACGCTAGTACTGAAGTAAATGTTATTTTTCCTATTGTCCATACACAGGCAGTGAGATTAGACCATTAACCTTCATGCATCGTTTATTCATCATTCAGTTTATGAGTATCACAATGCTAGAGACAGCAGGGTAGTTACTTAGTACCAAAATCATGCAACACATGTTAATAGTAAAATACGTTCAGGTGATAAGAATATCATTATAAAATATTGTTTCAGTAGCAATGGCTCAGGACAAATTTAATGCAAAGGCAGAGACAACTGACCTGAGCATGCTTTTAAAAAAAAAATTCAGTACATGGAAAAAATAGCACCACCAACCTTGCAAGTAAATTGGCATGTTGCTGCAGAGACTTTAGGCTTTAACTGCTGAAGGACAGCAGCAGCCCAACTTGTTGATATCCAAATGACCGGATTCCAGATAAACTGAAAAAACTGACTGTGAGGAAAAGTCTTTAACATTTTAAAGGATTTTAATCCATTTTATGAAAATTCAGATGTGGATCTTGGCAGGTAACGAGAATAGTACATCAACACGTAAGTGACATATCCGTTCATCCAGGTGTTCACAGCCTTTTAGAACAATGGCGTTGCAGGGGACCTCAGAAAGTCCCCTTGTCCATCCCACGGCCAAGACATGATCACCCACCCCATGTCATTCCTGACATGTTTGCTCAAATCATTCTTAAAGACCTCCACTGTTGGCAAGACTGCCAGCTTCCCACAGAAATTACTCCAACGCCTCACTCCCTTTATCGTCGTAAAGTTATTCCCGACACCTAACCCCCAGTCTTTGTTGCTGCACTTCAAATCCATTCATTCTCAACCTGTGGTTCACTTATCAAACTCAAGCACTGAATTCAAACCATTGAAAGCCATTTCCAAATCCAACCAAATGCAAGAAGGAACCCCACCTGAGTGAAAAAAAGCCCAGGTTGGAGCCAATGTCGTCAAAATGTCTTCCAGATGGCCTGTGAGCTTGTGATACTCAAACAGAACCTCCAAAACGTCCATGGACCTTCACATGGGTCAGCTTTCACCCACATGAAACCAGCTGCACGGTGAACACCAAACCATGGTCATATGACTGAGAGCAGTCTGAAGTACTGCAAATTGTTTAGATGATGAAAACCTTATTGCAATAATCAAACAGGGCAACTGTTACTCCACCTTATTAAAATTCTTCTTCCAGAGGGAATTCACCAGTGGAAAAAATAAGACATCCGCAATACAGAATCAGACCAGACTTCTAGGAACAAAATGCCCCAGTTATGGTGGGAGTTTGTCCCATTACAGGGACAAACCTTCAAACTCCGCTCCACAAAGGCTTACGTGTGAGCACAGCTTTACTCAAGCAAGCGCTCTTGATGTTGGACTACTCGCGTAAGTGAAGTTGCACCTATGCTTACAGTGTCATGACACTGCTCACCAGTCTGATCCTGTGTCCATGAAAATCCATGTCAAACCTCTCACTGACTTGTCAAGGTACAGGATCATGATTGTAACATGTGATGATATTATAGTATTGCCTTAATACAGTGATTCCACTGTTGATGCCCAGAAATGTATGGCTCCCCAACAGATTTCCAGTATAGTTAAAAAATATCTTGCTGTATGACAATAATTTTTACACAGTGTTAATTTCCACCACTCTTAGAACTGTGATATGATAACTTCCTTGATCGGATATCCTATCTTATGCACCACAAAAGAAAAAAAAAATGGACATAATATACTTAATTCATTTCCACTCCTTGTGCTATATACATGTATAATAAAAGTATATTTTTGGGAAAAAAAATATAGAGCAAGGCATCTTTCTCATGCTATGTATGTCATATTAGCTTGTATCACTTAATAGGTAACACAAACCTATTGTACAAAAGCCTACAGTTTTTTACAGATAACACAATGTGACTGCTAGAGGATCCCAATGAGTACCTTAACAAGACAGAAGTAAAATGTAATCAGATCAAGCAATTTAAATCTAGAACCAGACTTAAAAGTGATATAACTTGGAAGTAACCACCATCCACAATCCCTATGTGAAACAAAAATCTGTAATTCCATCACTGGAAAAGACTCACTATAATGAACATGTGAAATAAAATGTCAACCCATGTTAAAATAACGTACAGGCCACAGAAACTGGAGAATAAGCCCAGCCTTGCTCTCACTGAGATAAGGCCTGCTGAGGCTGGAAGAGGCCAAAACTCCTCCTTTACTATACTCTTCATGAATGGCGTGCTTTTGACACCACCAACTAGGTCATGGCCCCAGTCAAGTCAGTGTTGCCAATGCAAATGGGAAAAAGACTGAGTTAAAGCCTAGAAATGTAGTAAAGAGCAGCTTCTCCGCCTTGTTAGGTATTCATTGCCAATCACAGCACAGAAACATCACCACCTGTATGTCTGCAGGTTTTTTCATTTTATACATGTATATGAAATTTCTTCAAAATACAAGATGTATAGCTCGTAAGTGTATTTTGAAAAAAATTCATTTAAATACATACACCTATACATATAAAGAAGTAGGTAACTAAACATAACTGCATATATATATATACACACACTGCATGCATGAATATTTACTAAATTTTATATGTGTTTGTGTATATACAAGTACATGCATGTGTGTATATACATACACACATGTGTACACTTTGCTTCTAATTAGCAGTAGAAAAAACAGGGAGCTAGGGTCACCTTCATGTATATACAAATTTCAATTTCACACATCAGTCTACATGTTTCTCTCTTTAGGAACTTGGAAATCAACAGCTAGTTTCTCGAAAGTCAGAAATCAGACTTCAAAAGGTAATAAAATAATGGACCCACCAACCAGTTCCAAAGCTGAATAGGTGGTTAACTTCAAAAGATTCAGCTACCCCGGACCATCTCTAAACCAGTCAATGAAAATGAATGTACTCAACATAAGCTTTATACGAGAAACTTTCTAATCCTCTGTAACCACTCTGCTGCAATTATTTGTCACTTACTGTATTGCATGTCCCGGAGACAGATTTTTCACCTGACAGAGCTTTTTCTGCACTACCCAAAGGTACCACGCTTGGCTCAGCCATGCCCCCCTTCCCTGCCTCCAGCCTAGAAAACACACTTTTCTAGGCCTGAACCAGTTCCCGAAACATTGACAAGTCAGCACCTTCACACGCTCAGTGAGGTCACACAGAACCAACAATTTCCTCGTTCCTTTCCTGTGCCTTTGAAAGTCTTTCTGTATTGGGAAATGTAACACACGACACAAGCCACGACATCATCAC